AAAAAAAAAACTTTCAGAAATTTTGAGTAACTTCTGTTGTAGCATAATTCAGTAAAGGTTTAAACAAAACCATGTCCAGTATCAAAGTTCATGCTCAATAATACACGTAAAAAAATCCAACAAAGTTCAGTCAGGTGATGTGGACGGTTTCTTTTTTGTTGAGACGTTTCATCCAAAGAACTTCATCAGTATGAGGAGCCATAAACGAACTCAGTCCCGCAAGCAGCACACTCACATGTCCAGTATGTTTCTTCCGTCCGTCCGTCCATCCATCCATCCATCCATCCATCCATCCATCTATCCACCCACCCATCCATCCATCCATCCATCCATCTTCCTTACTCGCCTCTTTTTCCCATCATTTTTCACAAATTGCTAATGATCTTTTGCTGCTATTGTATTCCAATATGTTAATAGTGGAACATGAAACTTGAAGTTATTGTTTAAAATGAAATCGTTTTTTTTTTATGAAAACGTATCAAGGGAATTGAGCTACGGTAACTTGAGAACTTTCAGTGTCATTTTAATTGATTTTGACAATGCTAAATGTGTTGCAGCAGACATCATCTTAAAGTGATCACACCTACAGGAACGAGCTGCAACATTTCACTGTGAACTCTTCCAGATTTTCGGCAGCTTGTCATTTTACCGGGGAGAAAAAAAAAAAACAGGAGGAAAGAAACAGCGGGTTTCCATCAACAAATCCCAGTTACAGAACAGAGACAAAGCATTTATTAGCATCTCAGTGATGTTTGCGTTTTAAGAAACAAGGAGCTGGGAAGAAGAAAAGCTGGCCTTTTTTTCCCATTTGTTTCTTTATGCATTACTGAGATAGAGGGATATAGGCCATGAGAAGTGTGTCATTTTGTTCACAGCTTTGATCCTCCCTGCCTGTAATTCCATATCTTCAGTTCCTGTGCAATGTTTGCTTAGACCTCATCACCTCTGCAATGCATCCATCCACTAAAGGCTTTTGCTGTTTTCTGCTGAAGCCTCTGGGCATTGTCAAGCTGTGCAGCGAGGATGCTCAACTACAAAGAGCAGCTTTGTCTCAGGATGATGTTCGCAACAGTAGGACTATCAAATGTTTGTATTAAACGCCGTAACGCGTAATAAGCTGGTGCCTGATGGCACAGCTTCTTATTAAATTTTAATTCTAGCTTAAAGATTGTTTTATTTACCCTTTATTCTTCTAAAATTAAAAGCCTTTATTAAAAAAAAAACTTATTTCGTGCGTCAGTCTTTATTCAGTTTTAGCATCTGTGTGATTATAATGATCATCAAATAATATAGTGCAACGTAATGACAAGCAGCATTGCTGATAATCAACTGTGTCTGTGGAAAATCTCATAACCATTTTAGCCAATTTAATTTATCCTGTGTCAGCTGTTTATGTTTCTCTTTTTAATCAAAAGCCTAGCTTGATCTTGCACAACACTTTCCATTGACTAAAACTAATTAAATCTTGATCAGCAACTCCTATAGCAGAATTTTGCCAGATTTTTTTTCTATACCGAGTCCAGTTCAAAAGAGTTCAGATTACCTCACGTGAAAGAAGGTCACAGGAGAGAGCTGGCCAAGCCTAAAGGGATTTAGGATTAAGAACGTGTAATTTATTCAACAATGAGCACTTTGCCTCCTGCCCTCTGTGCTTGGTTTACTTAAACGTGAAAAGCAGGTGACATTGAATTTAAAACTATTTAAAAATAAAAGATGACAGATACAATATGACCCCGTATAGTTAAAATCAGTCTGGGGTTTTTTTTGTTTGTTAGTTTGTTTGTTTGTGGGGGGTGTAAAGATGTGTAGTCACATTTATATGCACTTTGGTGAAGAATTTGAGCAGATAAATCCAACTCAAAAAGGTGTAATTTTGCTTTATGGTATAAATATGTGCAGTCTTGCTAGTAAGAACTTATATAATATACAACACTTTTTGGTTTAGCATTAATGCTGAAAATGCTGAAAAAACAAACTACATGATATTTAGTAATATAAAGAAAATGATCAAAGTCCCATTTAAAATGGACAGTACTGAAATTCATAGAGTTAATGAAATAAAATTTTGGGGTGTCGATATTGATGAGAAGCTGACATGGAAATCTCATGAATAAAAATAGCAAAATCAATTACATTACTGGATAAAGTAAAAGAGTTTTTCAATGACAAACCTTTGCATATATTGTATAATGTAATGATTGTTCCATATTTAATCTATTGTATTGAAGTTTGGAGAAAAGCATGCAAAACTATTACGAACCCTATTTTTATTTTTCAAAAAAGAGCTATAAGAATTATGTGCTATGTCACCCAAAAAATGTATTATTTCATCAATTGAAATTATAAAAATATTATGATTTGGTTGAATGTAGTATTTTACAAGTCATGTATAAAGCTCATAAAAAATATTACCCTCAAATATTCAATTAAAATTTGTAATAAAAAATTAAAAAAAGAGTCAATATAACCTTAAGGGGATGGAAATGTTTGTAAAAATCTCCATTTAGAACTAGTCTGAAGGAGCGCTGTGTTGTAATTCAAGGATTGTGGAATTACCTCGATATCACCATAAAAATGTCTAAAACAATTTATATGTTTAAAAAGATGATTAAGTTAAAATTGTTGGGAAAGTATGGTGCCAAATGATGGATGCCAGGTGGTTTTTGTTTTCACTTTGGAGATGTTCAGGCCTGAGTTGTTGCTTGTTTAAAGCCATTTTATTTATTTATTTCAATATGGGGCAGATATTATAAGATTTTTTTCTTCTTTCTGCACCCTTTTCATTCAATTTTTTATCTTTTTGATGAATTTGTTCTGTTTATTTTGTTTCTTTTAAATGAATGAATAAATGAATAAAATAAAATAAATGCTGTTGCTTTTTATGTTACATTAAAAGTTTTCAGTTTTAATATGTATATCCTGGCTTAAATTATATCATATTGAATCATTATTTGAAATTAATACATTTCAAAATGATAAGGAAACTACTAATGATCCACTAGTGTTTTTTTTTTCAGTTTGAGAACATTTTTTATTATGTTCTTATATGATTGTCTTCTTGTGAAAATAATCTAAACATAGATGAGATGTGTTCATTTTTAATCTACATGTTGAATATATACATTTAAGACTGTTTCCAAAATGACGTTCAACTGAAATTGATTTGCTTTTATTGTTCTTGAACTGTAGGCAATGAGGAATTATGGTGATTGGAGTCTTTATCCTCCCATCCTCAAGGTTCAAGTTCTTTATTGTCATTCGCATCGCATGTGGTACAGGAGGTGGAACAAAACTGTGTACACAGGGTCCCAGTTATATCCAACAATAGCAACATATAAATTGTAAAGTACAGTGCTAAGGATCTAAGATATAAATGGAGAAATACCCTAAACTAAGGAATAAGCTCACTCAAACAGTCAAGATGGCAGTGTCTGCACCTTACCTACCTGCACCTAAATAAAGTACTGAGTGGTTGTACGTCAGCAGGCGCGTGACTGAAATAAGGTTGTATGAGTTTGTCAAATATGAAAGTTATCTGCAGTTTCACTGAAACATAACAGGAATCACAGTAAGACGATGGAAGACTGAGAATTTCTTACAGGATTGCATATCGCCCTCTGATTTTTATGCCTGAGTTATAGATTAATATCATCTTATGAGACATGACAGTTTTGCAGCCTATTTGGTCAAACTTGGTAAAATACATTTTGCACAACATCATTTGATAATTTGAGATCTTGTAAGACGTGATAGCGTACATAGTATGTGTTGAGGATGAGTTTCGGATATTACTGTAGCTCACCAAATTTAGCTCAGTATTTGCTCAGAGCTTTGGGTTATGACCGAAAGAACAAGATCACGGATACAAGCGTCCTAAATGAGTTTTCTCCGCAGGGTGTATGGGCTCTCCCGTTGAGGTAGGGTGAGAAGCTCAGTCATCTGGGAGGGACTTGGAGTAGAGCCGCTGCTTCTCCACGTTGAGAGGAGCCAGTTGAGGTGGCTCGGGCATCTGGTTAGGATGCCCCCTGAGTCCTGGATGCTTCCCTGGTGAGGTATTCTGGACACGTCCCACCAGGAGGAGACCCAGAGGAGGACCCAGGACATGCTGGAGGGACTATGTTTCTTGGCTGGCCTGGGAATGCCTTGGAATTCCCCCAGAGGAGCTGGTCCAAGTGGCTTTGGAGAGGGAAGTCTGGGCCTCCCTATTTAGGCTGTTACCCCTGTGACCTGACCCCGGATAAGTAGAAGAAAATGGATGGATGGATGGATGGATGGATGGATGGATGGATGGATGGATGGATGGATGGATGGATGGATGGATGGATGGATGGATGGATGGATGGATGGATGGATGGATGGATGGATTAGTAAAAATTGAATGCATCATAATTCTTGTTGGTTTGTGTTGATTAACTTAAAAGGCCTTCATGAATTAGGGAGACTCCAAAAGTTAATCACTCGATTACTTTTGAGCGTTTTACTGAAATCTGCCCAGTGGTATATGAGATATTTTGCTAACATAACAGACAAACATACACAGAGACAAAGGAAAAAACCTTATTACCTTGTTGCCTCCAGCAGTGGGCATTGAAAATGTCCCAAGCACCTTTTGTTAAATGTGTTAAAGTGTAAATCCATCTTTAGGCAGTATCTGATTAACAGAATATTTATTAAAATGCAGGACTTTTTCAGCTGTTAAGCTTCAGCACATTTCAGTGATGCCTTCTGTACTTGGACTGACTGAATAAGCCTTTTGGTCTAGCATCCAAACATAAAGAGAGCGTTTTAAACCACTCGCCCTGGAATGTGTTCGACAACTCTTGCATCCGAGAGCACCTTCAGTATTCAGACCCATTCTGGTAAAGGTCACACGGATTGCACAAGGCAACATGGCATCTCTACATGCTAGCTGTAATTCCAGGATTTATTTTGAATTTGCTCATTAATGTATGTTTTGTTTTCTTCTTGTTTTCTCTCATTTTTCACCCATCTTCTTACAGCGCTGAGGGACCACAGAATTGAACTGGTGCGAGCCTCGTCACAGGAGCTCACTATTAAAATCAATGACGTCAGCCTGTCAGACGAGGGTCAGTACACATGCTCACTCTTCACCATGCCCGTCAAGACCACCAAGGCCTTCCTCACTGTTCTGGGTGAGCATGCCCGTTTAGAAGAAAAATTCCCAGGCCAGTTACTTGTGGTTATTTCTTTGCATTCTGACATATGAACACATGCACATTTTGGATTATACTTTTGCAGATTTAAAAATAAATAAATACACAGAATAAATACAGACATACATATACATATCCAGTGCTGTAATCATATTTGTGTGCATCACAGGAGTGCCAAGTAGACCAGAGATCACAGGATTCACCAGGCCAGCCATGGAAAAGGACGTAATCACCCTGACATGCACCACATCAGGCAGCAAACCTGCTGCCAACATCCGGTGGTTCCGAAATGACAAGGAGGTCCAAGGTAAGCTTATGGCATAGATTTAACAGAGCATTGTATCCTCTGTTACAGCTTGTAGCCCCTGGGGGACACCCTTACTGTCAAGCCATTCAAATGCTGCATTCCTTTGTGCTCATATTCATGCACCGTTCCACTGGCTCAGGCATCACTGCTGTCCTTGCAAGCTGCCAGATGTTGCTGGACTGATTACTAAAACCAAAGGAGACCAACAGAAAATTTCCTTTTGTTTAAATTCCAAAAATAAATGTACATATTGTTAGATGTACTACAAATGTATAGTAATAGTATGGTATACCCAAATTGTTGATTTAGTTTTACCCTTAAGGTTTGACTTAGGAAATAAATTTTAAAAATTCCTTCTGTATTTGTTATGCTAACATATCAATATTTAAAAATTTCTGAAACAATAAAAAAAATGCATCTAATGTTCTGTTATGCTAACTCATGTATTTGCTTGCCAGCGCTTTTTACAAACAACTGCAAATAGATTGGCCAAAACGTACACGAAATAAAACATAAACAGTAAAATTAAATAGTATTTCTTGAAGAGCTGCATATTGCATGCCACCTTTAATTCCAGAGTTTTACACTTAGACCTTCTTGCAGTTAACTAGAGAAATTGCATTTCTTGCAAAAATACAGCGTGAATGCTTATTGCAGAAGAACTTGATGAGAAACAGCTGAAATTAGCTTTAAAAAAATCTGCTGAAATGGAAGAACAAGCCAAAATTAGCAGAAGAAAGCAGAAAGAACACATATTTGCTGAAATAGGTTTAAATTAGCCAAAATTTGCACAAAACTTAGGAAATTAGCTAAAAAAAAAAAGCTGAAATTAGCAACAAAAAATAGCTAAAAAGGCAGAAAGAAGCTTGAACTTTCACAACTACTAGAAAGAAGCAGAAATAACTGAAATGAGGTCATAAAATGTGGAATTAGCTGAAAAAGCTAAAATTAACATCAAAAGAGCTAAATAGTAGCTGAAAGAGCAGAAAAAACTGAAACTAGCAGAAAAAAATCTGAAAGGAGCATAACAAGCTGAAATCAGCAGAAAGAAGTTACAGGAAGCACAAAAATGTTCTCGTTGGCAGAAATAATCTAAAAGGATCACAAAACAGCTAAAACAGCTGAAAAAAGTTTTAATTTGCAGGAAGCTGAAAGAAGCTGAACCAGAACAAAATGTGAAAGGAGCAGTAAAAGGTTGTAAACAGATCTAAAGATTTGAAGGATGTAAAATGAGCTCAATTCATTTTCTATGACACAAAAAATGACAGAAAAGGCTAAATATTTCAAAAAGCTAGAGTTGCACCAATACCAAAAGTCATAGCACCCTTCTCCTGAATGACTGAACGTGTTGATATGAAGGTAGCCTATGACTTATTGCAATAGCACGTTAAATTGTGGAAAGAGAAATATGTCGAAAAACGTACGGAAGAAAAATGGCTCACAATAGTGTGAATGCTTCATAATCATTCACACAACAATATGGTAGTATAATGGTCAAATCTTGTAAATAATATTTAGTGCAAGCTCATGCAATATTGTGTGATCTGTTAGCAAGAGAATATGTGTTAAGGATAACTTGTGGCTTCTACTAAAACCAAATTTATCTCAGTGTCTGTAAAATTGGTGCAATACATTTTGAGATAGCTAAAGTTGAAGAGCGGTGGTGGCCGTTTTGAACTGGGTTGACTCGTAAGTGCATGAGTTGTAGATGTACATGTAAGCATTACTGTCAGAGTTTCACTAAAATCTGTTTAGTAATTTGTGTGATATGTTGTTACAAACAAATGAATACACACAGACATGGGTAAAAACATGATCTTTGGTGACAGGTAATAAACACACCCATGGAAAGAGCGCACTAGACGACAACTGTAATTTGTGTTTACAAAAATAAACCAGCCCAAGTTTTCTGTGGTGTAACAACGTGAGTCAGGATCTGTGTTTTAGGTTAGTTTGTTTAGGCTTTTTGTTTGTCATTCTTATGTTAAGTTGTGTTAATTGTGTTTTCTCCTGTGTTCCTCAGTTAGTTCCCAAACTCACTCAGTCAGCCTGCCACGCCTACTCTCACCTGTTCCCAGTCAGTAATCAGCCCAGGTGTCTCCACTTACTCATCCGCTCTGTTCCATATAATCAGTCGGTTCTCCTCCATTCTAAAGCAGAGCATTGTGGTCACACGTGTCACATCCTGGTCTCATTCCTAGTATAAGTTTTGTAGGCGTAACAGCATTTAAATACGTTTTTTATTTTTTATTGTATTCCTTGCATCATCTCTGCATTCTGGATTCAAAACCTCTTGAAACTGTGCAAATATGTCTTCGTTTTAAACTGTGTACAGTTCTGTGCATTGCATTTTTAAAACTCCTGTCCTCATTTTGGTTCTACTTTTTTTTTTTATAAATACCAAATTCATGGAAAAATAGCTGTGGCGTGTTCTTCCCTTGCTTCATGACAGAGATGTGCTGCACAGAGCTCTTTAATATAATAGTGCCTGCTGTGGAGGCTGAGTGTGACAGTTGCTCTTTATAGAAGATTTGCACCAGAGAGTTTTTTTTTCTTGGTGGTTCTGTCTGTGTCTGCCCAACATGGCACAATGATTGATGGGAGAAGGGCTGGGATATGAAGTTTTCTTGTTGAAATGACATGCACGTAGCTTCCTGAAAGGCCAGTGGAAAGCTGGCACACAGCATCACAACCAGACTCGCTGTCCATCTCGAGAGGCACTGAGATCTCTTTTGTCCTTTTTATTTTTCAGAGAAACAAATAAATAAGTAAATAAACACAGCTTAATCTGAACTTTTAAAGCTCAAAAATGTATATTGTTGGTATATAAGATGTGTTTCCCTACATTTACTGCATATCTGATAGTAGAAATCTGAGTGACTAATATATCTCTGAAAAAAATCAGGCACAAAGTCAGCATCTTTCTGCTTTCTGGTATACAGATGTTAGTTTTACTTGTAGGTTCTATGCCGCTCAGGCAAACAGATCCATAAGCAATGCTGATAAAGAACACTGAGAAACTGGAGGTCTTGACTTCAATACCTAATTTCCATGTCAAAGTGTCAAAAATGGGGAATGTCAATCAGTGCTGCAGGAGCTAAGTCTTTTTTTTTTTTTTTTTTTTTGATGCAGCTTTAAAGCTTTCTTTACGTGAGTATGTGCTAGGAGCAGCATGTTTTTCCATTGGTTCCTCTGTGGAAGATCATTGCCGCCAGTGTCTGCTGTCAGTCAAATTTATCCCCACTGGGGGACCAGTATATAAAGCTCCAAAGACGACAGCAGGTGTAATAGCAAAAATATGTCATATTTATTTCATACTCTGGTGATTTAGATTTTTTTTTTGACAATTTATATTAGAACACAGAAATGCACAACTCAAAATGCATCTGTCATCTGGAGTCAAGTCATTTGTTTACCGAGTATAAAGATACACAAATTCCTTGTGTTGCTGAATGGCAGCTAGGCTTCAATTATAATCGGCTGATTAAAAATCCACCCACCACCATCACCCTCTTTGTATACATAAAGTTTTCTTTTCTCTGCGACACAAAGACAAATGACAATTTTCTATTCAGAGAAAGGCAAGATATTATTGCCTTTTAAATTCAGACAATTACAAACTTAGATGTTAAATCTGCCTCTTTTATTTTCAGTCTGGCTTTAGCCTTTTTCTTTTGTTAGAACAAGGAGAGCTGAAATTTGCTATTGCAACACAAACATCCCAATTTATGAATATTTTATAAAGTTGTTGATATCCTTACAGCTCATTGAAACATCGCTTCATTTCTTGTGAAAAGTGATTTTAATTAAAAACAATTACCTGATGTATATGCATGTTTTTGGTATGTAACAGAATATGCACAAAAAAATGTGAACAAGTAATTTCTTGTTCATTTGACAAAAAATATGATAAAATAATTGGGACAGATTTGTTGGTAATCTTAAAGAGACCATCCAAAACCATCCAAGCTGAACTCCAAGGTCAAAATATGTGACTTTCTGATGGACTCCATGGAAGAAGACCCAGGAGAGCTTCACTACTGGCAGAAAAACACAAAAGAGACAGGAATTGACCAAAAGCTTGTTTGATGACAAGCTCAAAGTTTCTGGGTGATGTTTCAGAGACTGATGAGACAACATTGCAGCTTTTAAATCCTCTTTCAAAATGAGCAATAATTAATATATAATTAGTAAAATAAAAAACATTATTGACAAACAGTCCTTACTCTTCTAAAATGTCTTTGACTGATTATTAGGAATAAATTAATTGAAGAAATTCAAATTAGACTGATCACTAAAACAATTACTTAAAAACGTCAAAGGAAACCGACAGATGGGTTTGAGCTTTTACACAATGTTATACTCAATAAAAGAAGCAAGGCTGTAAAATATAGAAAAATTAACAACAACAATATTTAAAGTTGTAACAACTTATTAGCAGTTTTAAAATGTGAGTTGAAAAAAACATCTAACGTTAAGTCAGGTCCTGTGGACGGTTTGAAAATAAAAAGAAAAGTAATGAAAACTTAAAAACTTGTTGTAAGGTTTCGTATTTTATCCGAAAGACCTTGTCAGTCTGAGGAGCTGCACTAAACTCAATCTTATAAATAGCACCTTCTCATAGTGGATCAACCAGTTTTAACCCGTCCATCATTAAATGGGGCGGAGACCTCTGTGTCCAACTGTCACCTTCTTAGAATGTTGTTGTTGCAAGTATTACTCTGCCCTCTGTGAATATCAAGTGGCCATCCGGGCACTAACGACCAATCGTTAGGCTGATGATCCTATTACACGTGAACAGCTGGTTCTGGCTGTCACCAGCAATCCACTATGAGAAGGTGCTATTTATAAGACTGAGTTTAGTGCAGCTCCTCAGACTGAAAAAGTATTTGGATAAAAGACGAACTGTTTCAGCTAGTATAAAATTTTGTATATATATATTTTTTTATCTGTCCAGAGGACCTGATTTAACCTTGTTAATTTTTTCTACCTGGATTATTGAGCATGCATATGTTGGAAAATAAAGGTTTTCATTTTTAAAGCACAATTTGAAAATGAAACTGGTTTCACAGAAGGAAAAAAATGCCAACACTCCTATTATTCCTGTAACAAAACAAATTGACACGGTAAACACATTACCAGTAATTATTACAATCTGAGGGGAAACAAGCAATCATTTTTATGATATGCTAATATCAGTTAGAAAGGCCTTGACATATTTTTTAAGCAAATCAAAGCTTTTTATTGTGGCATCTCATTATTAAAACAGATGCTGGGGAGGTGATCACAGGAGTACACATATTTGCCTGAATTCAGCTCTGCTGGCCTCCAAATGCACTGGTACAACGCAAATGCACCTGGGCTTATTCCCATTCTTACGAAAACTGGCACAGTATTCTCTCTGGCGACGCCATCAACCACCTCAAAAGAGACTGACAGCTTCTCTGTTGCAGCTTCAGTGCTGCAGGCGGCTCAACAAATAAAAGGAAAAGCAGCAGAGATTTGTGTTTTTTGCCACAGAGACGCTTCCTATGCTTCCTCTGTACTTTCAGGCACAATTCAGGGCACGCTACTCTTACCTCTCACTTGCTGCTTTTGATTTTAAAGCATGATCTCTTTCACAGGCACAAAAATTGATTTGAATTACTTATGTAAAGGAAATGATTAGTAAACATAAAAACATCATACTTGTTAATTTACTTTATAATCAACCAACAATCATCAAATACACTTAATGAAAACTCAGTCCAAGTCACCAAAGTTGATGCTCATTAATCCAGGTATAAATCCAACAATGTTCAGTCAGGTCATCTGGATCACAGTCCAAACATTTTCATTTCATTTTAAGGAAAGCAGGGTCACTTACAAAGTAAAAAGTTGTCGAGTTGTACTGTATACCTCAAAATATACTGTTATTCATTCAACCTTTATTTATACAGGTTAGCTCCCATTGAGCCTCGAGGACTCATTTACGAGACACCTGTTTCAGACAGACAAAAGTAGATAAGGACAAGAGAACACTAGGGGAGGAAAGGTTAAAAAAAAATCATATCTCGTACTATGTCCTGGCCAGGGCACAGTGTGAAAGTTGCATAAAAAGACCTCTCACATAAACAGCAACATACTAATGACATCATAATACATTTATGCACGAGGAAGCCGACAAGAGTAGTGATTTGTCCGTAGAGACTGCCAGAAAGTTCCATAGTCCTGATAAAGATGGCACAGTGTTTATAAGCTGGCTCAACTCTGACACAGGTCCACAAATGTCCTCGGGAGGGGAGCGATAGGGGAGAGTGAGGGGGACCGGAGCTTCTCGTTCACATAAACAACCAGGAGAAGTTTTGAGATAGCTGGCCAGTTCAAGGCCAACTGGGGACGCCAAATTCAGATAACACAATTATTTTGGGCCAGGCAGCCTCTGCTTGAATTTCCATGTCTGCCTTCATAGTTCTGCTGGTATGTCTCACTGGCGATTCCAAACAGCCAAGTTTTGCGGTCACACAGCTGGACCGAGATTGTAGCCTTCTCCAAGGTTGATTCCTTCCCACCAGTGAGTCCCAGGAGCTACAAGTGGCCTGCAATTCTCTGAAATCGTGTCCAGCTTACGGCTCAGATCATGCAGCATCTGAGTCTGTGAGCTTATCACTCGGTACATTCCTTCATACAAGGCAGGCAGCCTTACAATTGCCAGAACCGCTGCCACCGTCTTCTGACTTTGTCGATATGCCAGATACCCACCAACACCAAAAAGCAGAAATCCGGTTATCATAAATCTAATTATGTACGTGTCTTCTACGTCCTCAACGGACAATACAGACAGACACACCATCTTCCACTGGCCCCAGGAATCCATTTTGTATCCAGCTGTGAGTGTCCCTGCAGGGCATGAGGGCTCTCCTTCAAACAGTCTTCTTGTCAAGAAAATTTTGTCAATTGTGCTGAGAGACCAACTATCCAGATCCATAATTTACAATTCTGAGGATATGTGGTGAGAGACTCAGACAGGAATCACAAGACAAAGAGCAAAGTAGGAGCAGGAGGGAAATGCGTCCGCCCTTGTCTAGAGCAAGCAGGACAGAGTGCTTCCAACAGCCCAGTAAAATAGTTAGCCCTTGCAAATGGAAAATATCACAGAGACAACGTGAAATGGAGTTAGTGGAGCAGATCACCCAACATTATAATAATATCATGTTTATAGGCTTTATTGCAAAGAGCTTTTAGTGTTTAATAGACAAAGGGATTTGAGGGGGCAGCTTGCATTTTTTGGGTGAGGGGAAAGAATAAATATAACATTATCAAAGAGGTCATTCTGAAGCTATTGTTAGGTAATGTCTTTTAGTTCCAATATCTCTGCATAGCAAAGTCCAGAGAAAAGTGACAGTACCTTCAGAGTGACTGGAAATATGAAAGCTTCCAATCCCTGACTTAAAAAATGTATGGCAAAAAGGTTAAAATTTAAAGCTACAGGAGAATATCAGGGAATGAAACTGAAACGAGCGAGAGAGAGAGAGAGAGAAAAGGAAAACTTTGACAGGCACAAAATTTCACCCAACTCTCTCCACGCACTCCACTCAGGTGGAGTGCGTCTGATTGTTTGAGGGGGATGTTTGAGCGATGGTCCTGGAGGAGCAAATACACTCAACCAGCCACGTCAACGCTCACATAGCTCTCCATTCTTTGTTCTACTTTATTTTGACATTCAAGAGGGCAACGATTCTCTCCCTCAAAAAAGATAGAGGAAAAAAATATTCCTACAGTTTAGAATTTCATTAAAAAATAAAAAAAAAACTTCATTAAAAATGTAATGTATTCTGAATTTTTGTCTTTCTTCTCTTCATTTTCAAGGCATTTTTTTTAAATAAAAACAACTGCTTAGGACATTTTTTTAATGAGTATTCATGAGTTCTCAAGCTGGTTTACTTTCTGTCACTCTGCAGGGACTATGGAGGTCAATGCCACAGGAAAATCCTTCACAGTGAAGAGTAGCCTCCAGTTCCAGGTGAATAAACAGGATGATGGTGTCGCTTACACCTGCAGTGTGGAGCACGTGTCTCTGTCCAACCCCTACATGACAACTGAGGTCCTGGAGGTCCACTGTGAGTACAGTCATGCCTCACAAGGATGATTTTGGCTTGAGATTAGCATTGAGAAGAAACAGAAAGATGGAGGTTGCATGTGTGCCTACATGTTTAGCTTTGCATTTGCACTGGATTACTAGTGGATTAGTTTGTAGGTAGGGGATTTGTACAAAAACAGAAAGTGGATAGAGCTAAAAGCTACCCGAAAGACAAACAAAGCAAACAATTTTAAACCTTGTTAATGTTATAATTAAAGCCTCTAATACCCAGTAATTCTATAGAGTTGAATTTTGGAAACTTCTTTGCAGATGCTCCCCAGCTGGAGATCACACATTCACTGATTCTTCCACAGGAAGGACAATACTTCAAACTGGAGTGTGTTTCCATAGGCAATCCAATGTAAGCTGCAGCTGATTTTAAACATTATAAATACATGCAAACATTCAAAAACGTAAAACCTGAACTAAAGAATTGATGCTTTTTCTTTTTTCTTTGCACAGTTTATTAGTCGGAAACCCTTTAGAGATGAGCTATAACAAAACATTGACTTCAATTTGTTTTTCCAGACCTGAACCGGTGCTGTGGTCGAAAGATGGAGGAGAACTGCCAGATATTGAGCGAATGATTGTGGAGGGCAGAGAGCTAACCATCACCACGCTAAACAAAACAGACAATGGCACATACCGCTGTGAGGCCAGCAACCATATGGGCACCAGCTTTGCTGAATATATGCTGTTTGTATATGGTGGGTACTTTGCAGAGGCGTACGTTGTGGCTTCATGTGCACTGGTTTACAGACTAGGTGTACTAACTCACAAACAATGTTCATTGCAAAGATCCAAATAATTAAAGGAGTATATTTAGCTTGTACAAAATAAGCAAATCTAAATACTTTATCAAATCAAAACATGTTTACAACAAAGAAATACCAACTTTTGTATTAAACAGCTTTCAATCAAGAAACATTGCAAAGCTCAGCACTTATTGGAAGGTTCTGACAAGTGTAGCTTAATTTACTTTATTCATTAATATAACAATATGATTTTTCTACAGTAGATACACTAACAAATAATGAGAAACATCTACTTAGCGGTTCATTATTTTTATATTGTTGAAATAGCTCACTGATTAAAATAGACACTGTGGAACCAAAGCCACATGAACTCTTTGGGTGATGCCACAGTTGTTGGAGGCAACACTAAGTTAATGAGGAAACTGTAGAAACACCTGCCTGTCAAAAGAAGTATGCCTTCTAACATGTGGTTAGTGTTGTCAGAGTTTGATTTTACCACGCAGCTTATGAAAACAGGAATTAAATTTTAAAAAATGCTGATCAAATCTTTAAAGGAACCAGTGATTTGGGGTTAAGTGTGCTGTGTGATGGAACATAGACTGAAAATATACCATTATTTGTGTGTACAGTAGTTCCTCGTTTATCGCAGGGGGATCCGTACCCTGAAGCCCTGCGATAAGTGAAAAACTGCGAAGTAGGAATAGTAGTACAAGTACTAAGTAACCGGATTCCAAAAAAGTTGGGACACTAAACAAATTGTGAATGAAAACTGAATGCAATGATGTGGAGGTGCCAACATCTAATATTTTATTCAGAATAGAACACAAATCACAGATCAAAAGTTTAAACTGAGAGAATGTATCATTTTAAGGGAAAAATCTGTTGTTTCCAAATTTCATGGCGTC